TTGTAACTGCAGCTTGTTTGACCTTTCTGGGGATCCAGCGACTTCCTGTTTTTTGTTTGAAGCCCCTGGGGACCCTGTGTGGCCGAGAGAAGCAGCCAGAATTTTCCTCTTCCTAGCGACCAAGTGGCACCTGAGCGTTGCAAAGTGTTCTTACCCGAGAAGACTCCCGTGGGGTTGGGGGAAGAGCCCGAGTGTCCAAGCCAACTGAATTTGGCCCTACATTTTTTCTTTTTATTCTCTGCCCCCCACTTCCTCTCAGGGACCGCCTTTGTTCTTCAGTGCCAGCAGCTCTGAGAGTGAGAGCTGCCTGGGGCCAGCTACTGGTGCCCTGCAGCTTTGCACGCTCATTTGGTAACTGGGTTGTGGTTTGAAGTGCGAGGTACCTTAGCAGAGTGCTGGAGCTCCTCTGCGTCTTGCTGAGTGTCCAAATGAAGCCTGCAGGGACCGTTTCCATAATTTGTATCCAATCCATATAAAGTACATTAATGATGCTGGCTAATTTGCCTGAGTTGGATTATTAACATCGTTACTGCTATTTAATAAAGAGGCTCGCTTTGCCTTGGTCATTCCAGGCACCTGAGCCCGTGGGGTCTCCTTGTGTATCGGGGTTGAGCTGGAGAAGCGCCTGGAGCCTTGTGGCTGGAGTTGTTAGCAGTGGCATCTCACTTCCAGGACAGCGTGTGCGGGAGGAGCCTTTGGTGGTCTCCATCTGCTGGGCATCAGATCAGCTCTGCCAGGTCTGCAGGCCAGGTGCCCAGGCCTTCCTGCCTTTGCCCAAGGCTTGCATGGCCCCCAGAGGCGCCCCTAGCTGAGGGCAGCAGCAGGTACTGCTTGGCTGGTGTCTTGCTGCCCCTCAGCTGCCCTGGCACCAACCCTTCTCAGTCCTGACTTCCAGGTGCTGAAAGACTTGGAGGGTCATGGGCTCCCCAGGTCTTCCCGCAGACCCCCAGGCCCGCCCCCTGTGCCCGCTGCTCCTCTATCTGAGCTCCCAGCAGCTGCGGGCACTCTCTCTAGGCACCTTCCATGAGGCACAGGGCATGGCCCAGCGGGGATGTCGGCTGCCGTACTCCACTGCGTGGCCAGCAGGACAAAGCTGCCGGAGAAACAGCCTTGATCTGACTTGAAAGGCCGGGTTCTCGGGAAATTCTGTGGGGAGTGCCCAGAGTGGCACTTGCGTTTGTCCAGTGGCGTCTGATAAAAGTTCCTGGGAGGCTTTTAAACTGCTCTAGTGAGTCTATAAAGCACAGCCGGGAAAAGGAAAATTTCCTCGAGCTGCCTCTGTTCCTCCTCCGCACATCGCCGCGTGTCACTGGCTCTCCCTGCCGGGCGAGAGTCTGCGCCGCGCTGCGTCCGGGCTGCCTGAGCTGCAGCCGTGCGGCCAGTGCCAAGAGGCATTACCAGACCCGTCTGTCACCATGAGCACTGTGAAGTGTGACTCTCAGGCTGTGATGAGACCACCGTGCCCACTGGTGTGGGATGCACGTGCACCTGGACACAGAGGTAGGGCAGGGAGGCTGCGGTTCCCATGTCATCCACACCTGTGAGCGGCGCAGTCTTTTCCTTGGGCGTCAGTGACCCCTGGAACAGCACAGTGATGCATGGTGAGCGCTGGCATGCAGAGGCAGGCAGCCCTGTGTCCACTTTGGGGTGTCGTAAGGGGTCTTCTGGGAACACAGCCGCAGACACGGCCTCGCTCCCTGTGGGAGGGGAGCCCTTGGTAGTTCTGGAGGAGAGCCTGAGGGGTGGAGCAGGCAGCCTGAGGGGCCGCTTGTGTGCTGGGTCCCTGTTAAGGGACAATGCTTGCTTCTGCTGCTACTGCTTCTGGTTCCCGCACCCGCGCCCGCTCAGTGCTGGGCCAGCCCCAGTGGAGGGTGGGATAAAACACAGCCAGACACAGGCTACACGGTCAGCCACACCCCAGGGCCCGGTCTCAGAGGCAGCTGTACCTGTTGAGGGAGGGTGGGGTACAGCGGGGCCCAGGTGCCTGTTTAGGGCACTTCAGGGTGAGCTGGGCCCACACCACAGACAGAGCACATGCATTTGCCAAGGATCCTTCGTGCCCATCAGGGATGGTACAGGTTCTTGAGGACCCTTCCTCTCGTGCTGCCTTGGTTCATCATGGCCCATCAGATGTCCCTTCCTCAAAGAACACTGTCCGAGCCCCACCATGGTCATCATCCTTCTGCCTGGACACTTTGTTCTTCACTTCTGCTCCTGGAGGCCTGTGCCTACCACGACTTGACCTCTCCCTTAAGCGTTTACCTTTTTACACGGGTCATGTGGTCCGTGCTCCTAGGTATGGTGAATGAATGAATGAAGTCTCTTTTGGTGACCGGCTCATGTGGCCAGGTGTCCTGGCGGCATCATGACCCTTTGGTTCCAGGAAGACAGCCGGTGAGTGCCCTGGTGATTGCCCCCTCCTGGGAGCTGGAAGTGCTTGCAGATCATGCATTTCTGTTGCGGAAGCTGTGGTTTCATGCCCAGGACGCTGCAGCGGGGCTTGGAGTTAAACAGGAGATGCAGGATTCTCCTAGAGAGGGTGAGGGCTGAGGATGGAATGTCCTGCTGTGATGCATGTTCCGTCCATCTCAGCACCTGGCCAGCAAGGCAGCATCACAGCTGCCGGGGAAACCACAGCTAGACACCTCTAGGAAGCAGGTTGGAGATCCAGAAATACCTGAAGGAGTCCCTGGCAGTTTTTAAGAGCCTTGAAAGCCCTCTGTGATTCTGAAGGCTGCTTCCCCTGCTGGGGATCCCTCCCCGTACCTCTCTCCTGAGGTTGGTAGCTTTGAGAAATACGCAATGCAGAGGCAGCTAGAGTCCCTGTGAGCATGGAGCCCACCCCAGACGCAGCCACTCGCACCCCTCATGCTGCCGCCTGCCGCCTGCCGTGGGAAAGAGGGCACGATGGAGGTGCCGCCATCCCGGCCCTGCAGTGCAGTGATTAGCATGCAGGGCTCCGTGGATGCCGTGGCCAGTGCAGCACGTCCTGCAGCAGTGGCAGCCCCTGGGGCCCTGGTGCAGCGAGCTCCCCGGGATGCGGAGCCTGGGATGCCGCAGCGCTCGTGCCTGGCAGCTTGGTTTTCGTCTCTGTGTTCAGATGGTGGATTGCATGGAAATATGGGGCTTCCAGAATGCTGCCTGCATTTCAGATGCCTGTGAATATCCTGAGTCAAAGCGAAGAATTATGATTAAGCAGATCTTTCCTGAACTGAAGAAATATGACTCTATTTCTTCTCGAGGATAATTGTGGCCTCTGCAGAATCATCTTGTTTAGATGGGCAGATGCCCTCTAAATGAAGGACTGAAGATGTTCTTAGAAGAGCGTGGTTGCTGTATTTTCCTTTGCTTTTCTCAGATTTCAGAGGTGCAGATTGGCGTTTTAATGTACTTGCTCTGTTTACCCAGTGACAGTTTGGTTGCGGTGCCGTGAGGCGCTCTGCCTGGCAGGCAAAGCAGCAGGTGAACCCGTCTGGTTCCCAGGGCCTCCTTGTGCCTTAGGTGAGCATTTCCAGCGTGGGCGCTTCATGCCTGAGGGCAAGCTGGGCGCCACCTCCAGCTGGTCCTCTTCTTTTGTCCCAGAGGGAGCCTGAGAGCTGAACTCGCTTATTTTGCTATGAATAGTGACCCCAAACTGCATTAAACGCGTTATGGGTGGTAATTTGACATGTTCCCATACTAAGAAATAGAATGTTGGGGTTACTATGGCAACCGCATGCATTCTGAGAAGCTTGTGAATGGGCTCTGAACCTTCTGGCATTTTAAGTGAGACTTCCCAGCTGAGAGCCTGCATCCATGATTAGCGTAAATAAACTCAGCTTTCCATGCAAAGCACGTCCTTCCTCTTGGTACTGCAGTGGGCCATTCAGCACAGTTCTCCCTGTGGTGACATCTGTCTGACTCCTGGCCACTGGCTGTGGCTGGGAGATGGCTTTTGGCTTCATGTGTAAGGTGCAGCCACCTCAGGCAGTGAGCGTGGGGAGTGGGGGGCCTCTGCGTGTCCCTCTAGTGTGCCCATGTGGTCTGGGAGAGCGTCCAGCTGTCCTAAGAGCTGCCCAAGCCTCCAGGAGCGACTCTGGGAAGCCGTGGTAGTTGGTTCTGAGTAGGGAAGGAGGCCCAGGTTGGAAAGACCTCGTCCGGAGTGTCAGTGTCACAGACCTGTAAGCGAGGACCTGTGATCTTGGTTGTGGAAGGCTGGACAGTTTTTTTGTTGGAAGTCCGTTAGCACTGCTGTTTTGAAACCAGTCCCCCATGCTTTTATTGTGCAGCGCCAAAGGTTGAACCCAGAGCCTGGCACGGGTTTGGCAAGTGCTCTGCCCTGAGCTAAGCTAAGCTCCCTTTTGTTTTTTTTTTAAAGGACTGGAGAGGGGCTGGGGATTTAGCTCAGCGGCATAAGCGCCTGCCTTGCAAGCAGGTGGTCGTGAGTTCGATCCCCGGTACCAATAAAAATGAAAAAGACAAAAAAAAAAAAAAAAAAAAAAAAAAAGAACTGGAGAGCGCCTGAGGGTCTCGAACCACTGGACCAATCGGCCCAGGCAGTTGGGTAGCCAGACTCGAAGGAACCGCTGGACTAAAGCCAGCCCTGCTCCCTTTGGTTTTTATCTAGAGTCAGGGTTTTGCTAAATCACCCAGGCTGGCCTCGAACTTGGGATCCTTCTGTCTCAGCCTCTTGAGTAGCTGGGGTTACAGGTTCACACCATGGTGCCCAGCTCTGTGTTGTAGTTGTGATAGCACTGGATGGACTGAGGTCAAGGCTTGGAGCCTCACTGACAGTGCTGGAGGCCAGGACAGTGTCTCCTGAGAGGAGGAGGAGGGCCGGGTGCCGGGAGAGTGTCCTCACACTGTTGTGAGACTCGGTGGCATGGGGCCAGACTTTGACTGGGAAGGCAGGTGGGGCTTCCGGGCGCTCTTCAGTGGGCACCTGGCTGGGGACCTGGCTGTCATGCACCTGCAGCCCTCAGCTAAGAGCCTTTGTCTAATTCTACTCCTTTATTTTACAGATGAGGAAACTGAGGCCCAAAGAAGTTATCCCTTTTGGTTAAAGCCCCACAGCAGGCCAGAGCCAGATCTGGGATCAGGAACCTGGCTCCTGGCGTCCTGCTCTCCTGAGGATCACTTTTCTGCAGACGAGGTTTGCTTTCAGTTCACTGGTTCTTGTCTTCCTTTTGTCACAGGAAGGCCTGTCCTAGCCAGGCAGGCTGACACACGCCTACAGCCCCAGTGCCCTAGTAGCTGAGGCAGGGTGACTGTAAGTTCAAGCCCAGATTGGGCAAGTTAGAAACTCAGATCCTGTCTCAAAATAAAAATGCAGAGGGCTGGGGGTGCAGCTCAGTGGTCAAGCGCATCTGGGCCCAGTCCCCAGTGCTGGAAAAGAAAAGCAAAGAAGAGGCGCCTGTCCTGAGGTGGGCCTCTGCCTGGGGCTCTCCACTTGGGTTTTAAATCCAGCCTTCCCCACTTTGTTTTGGGGCTCAGTATTGAGCTTTTCCTAGGGTGCTGGAGGCATCCCTAGGGGGCATAGAGGGCATGGGCTGTGCACTCCAAGCCACAAGCTTGGTAGCCCTGGCCACTGTAGTCTGGGGTACATAGGGAAACCTGGGCGCTGTGGCTTAGCCAGTGCACCTGAGCTGCGCTGTGCACTGCATCATGACCCTGTCCTTGCACAGGAGGGGATGCTTAGCTGCAGTCCTGCGGCTTACACCTTCTGACTTTTGATTACACGTCAGTACAATGTTAGCCCACGGGTTGAGATGCACATCGATTTTCTAGCTGGATTCCAGGTAGGCCTGGCTTTTAATTTTCCGGTGTTGGAGGAAGGTGAGATTTTATTGTGGAATTCACTTAGGGCAGCAGATTGCTTACCCAGGAGGCTGCGGCGATGGCTCCCTTGCTAGCCGCACATTCTTCTTACGGGATTTGGATGCAGGGTAGGGGCGGTGTCGTGTCCAGGCTGTGACCCTGGACTGCGGCCTGGCCCCGTGGTGCTGTGACCTGTGAGCTAGGTCCTCAGCCTGGCTTTGGCTTCTCTTTGGGGATCCGTGCTTTGCGGAAAGCCAATACCATGCTCAGGTGTGAATGAGAGGCCTTGTGGGGCGAGGCCAGGACCCTGTGGAGTGAACCTGTCCTCCCCATGGCACTGTGTCCAGAGCCCTGGCTTGGAAGCCGGGGCATAGCAAAGTGCATTTGGGATTTGTTGTGTAGCCGGCTACGAGAGCAGGGTCTTCATTTACTGTGATTAGACATTGTTTTTGCTAGAGATAAGAGGAGTAAGTTAGCACTTTCTTAATAATCACTTTGGAAGTTTATGTTTTAGTTACTTTGAGATAATTTGAACATCATAAAATCCATCCAATTGCAGGGTCAGTTTGGTGTTTTAGTATACCCTCAGGTGTACGGTGTCACTACTGTTAGGACATTTTGGACTCCTAGCTTACTCAACAGATAAACAGATGAAAGATTCAGCTTGGCATGAGCAACATGCCCGAGACCCTATGCGTCCAGACCGGGCAGGCAGGAACGCAGCCTCACTCAAGCACCTGCCCACTTCAGCCCACAGGCACCTATGCGAGGTGCCCTGGGGTCAGTGACACAGTTGGGGCTGTGCCAGGCCTGGGTCAGGACATGCATTCTGCTGAGGAGGCAGCGCCCTGTCCCTGCTCTTGGGAAACAGGCTCTGGAGTTAGGAGACCCTGAGACGCCGGAAGTGAGTCCAGTAGCGTGAGCTCATTAAAAATGCTCTATAGATCCTCAGGTTCATAAGCGTGATGATTGGGTGCTCATGCTCCATGCATGACATGTGCCTCCTTTGAACCTTGTTACGACCTCGGCACGTTACCCATCTGATGTGAAAAAAAATGCTCTATAGAGAAATAGAAGTTATATTAAAAAAGGAGGATGGTATATATTAAAAATGCAAATTAGCTGGGCCTGGTTGTGTTAAAAATGCACAGAAGGGCGACACTTTCCTACCTTGTCAGGGTGGTGGGTGACAGTTGTGTAACAAAAGGTGGGATAGCGGGACCCACGTGCTGGTTGACTCCACCAACCATCAACCAACGAAGCTCCGTGCCCTGGGGGCTGCAGAATGGAAGCCAGCGAAGTTGCTTTCCTTGCTGAGGTGCGGTGGGTGGGCCGCAGGCTGGGCTGACCCCTCTGGACCCTTCTACCAGGTCCCCACAGCCTCCCCGTGTGGCCAGCCTTCCTTGGGGCCATGTGTCAGACAGGGTCAGGGGTTTCCTGATTGGCCTTGAGGAAGAGGATTCTGGTTCCTGCTCACCACTTTATGGGGGAAGGGGAGGCGGGGACCCTGGCCTGAAGCTGCTTCTCAGGTGTTCCCCATGACCTTCAGCTCAACCTTCACACAGGCACTGTGCGCCTCAACATGAGATTTCAGGGTGTCATCTTCGGGGTACCAGCATTTCTGAGTAAGTGCCATGTGGCATGGAGATTGTGCCCCCAAACTCAGCAGGCACGTGTCTGTGGAGGAAGGGTTGGGCCAGTTCAGGTGTGCCAGAAGAGACTGCTTTCTGCCTTCTGCAGGTAGGATGCTGTCCCCACCAGCGCCCTCGTGTGGCACGGCCTCACCTTCGCCCACACCTGCTGCCCTGCCTTGGCTGACCTTTGACCCCAGCTTGAGGCCCAGGCCCAGAGCACAGCGGTCTTCCTCCACTTAGAAGGTCACCACAATCTCCATGGTTTCATTGCCCAGTCTGGTAGGGTTCTAGCAGGTCTGACCCTGCCATCGGTGTCTGTCCCAGCGTCCGTCCTGTAGCTCTGAATCTTGTCAGACAGACTGTTTCCCACTTTCGGATTTGCTCATCTGGAATTCTGTCCGTGGCATTGACTTAGAATAAGGCTTCCAGTGTAGGAGGTGTTTCAGAACAGCTCCTGGGTCACCTTCAGTAAGGATAATTTTGAAATGTTACTTAATGCTGAGGCACCGTGCACCAGCATGCTTGGCTCCCAGGGTTGCAGTGGGGTTTCTCCTGTGGAATTTGTGAAGTGAGATTTGAATTAGGATTCAGTACCACTCCACTTTGCAAACTTTCGATTTTCTTGTTGTTTTTATCTGTGTTTTAATGTAAAGATCTGAGGCTTAGGGAAAGCAGGTCGTTTCTGCCTCCGTTGGAGCGGCACAGTTGAGGGTCCTTCCTCTCCTGTCTGTTCCGCGTGTGGCTCCTCCCTCTGGGGTGATACACAAGGGCCCGGTGGCTCTGTGCCTCCCCGGGCCCTGCCCTGCAGGTGGCTGCCTCGAGGCACCCAGATGCGCACTGGGGAGCAGGGGCAGCTGGGTGATTTGTGAGCACCGTCCCTTCCCTGTTCGGAACTTGTTCGGATGTTTGCAGATTGAATCACCAGATCTCTCTAGCACCAGCACACAGCTTTTCTTTTTCTAGGTCTTTTTGAGACAGGGTTTCACAGTACACTTCAGGCTGGGCTTGGACTCACTTATGTTGCCCAGGCTGACCCTGAACTCGCAGTGATCTTCCTGTCTCAGCCTCCCGAGTGCTGGGATTACAAGTATGTGCCACCACGCCCTGCCTCTGTTTTTCAAATTATTGGTTGCTTCTGTTTTTCTGTCTTCTCCAAGAGGTAGAAATCACACAGGACAGACAGTGTTCCCTGTTGGACACATCTACAGATGACCTGTGTCATGTGCAGGATGCACGATCTGTGTCATGTGGCTGCTTTCTTGCATGGCTCTTCCCTGTGCTTTCCCTCACAGAGAGGAGCACACGTGTGGTCAGGGGTTCAGGTGAGGGGTGCTGCCTGCTCAAGAGTAGAGATCGAGGAGAAGGAGGTCGCTGTGCAGACTGATGAAGCCTCTCAGCGTCCTCTGCTGTTCCCGAGTTCATTTTCTCTCAGTACTTCTCGGGGCCCTTGGTCCTGGCCAGCATCTGAGATGGAGCCAGCTGCTTTGTGCAAGGCAGTACTGGTCACTGTGCACACTGGTCACGTGTGTGCCTGGAGCTGATCCCTTACACCGGGCTGCCGGGCACACTGAGTCTTCTCTGGAGTTGCTCATAGCACTGTCTAATCTATCTTCAAAGATTCACTTCACAATTTTTTAACAAAAAACTGTATTAATGTTGCCTTTTTGCTTATGCAAAGAATGTTGACTGTAGCATATTCTATGTTCAAAATATTGATCAGTATTTGGGGGCAACCAAAGAGATTTGACAGTGCATTAAAAAATTGTATCAAGTATCCCCCCCAGAATTGTATCAATTCACTGAGCAAACTGCAGTGAATCATAACTGTATTAAGCAGAAGCCAGCATTGCAGAGTAGAGTTTGTTTGAAAGGCTAGTTAGATGAAAATTTCGCGGTGGCCTGGAAGGGTCACATCTGTATCCACATCTAAGTCAAAATAACCCGATCAGCAGAGTCCCTGGAGGGAGGTCGGTCCTGGTAATGAGGGGGCACCTCAAAGAAGTGGATTTGTCTTGGAGGACTTGTGAAGCGTGAAGACTGTTCGGTTCACAGAAGCGTCTCACCAGACTTCTGAGACCGATCTCTCTGGAACACAGGTCTGAGTTTTATGTTTGAAGGATGAAATGCCTGCCTGATGATGGGTGTGTGACCCACCGTGGAGTGCCTGTGACCTCAGGGAGGCTCATCACAATGTCCAGAACAACAGCAGAGGGACCCGTGCTGCGCAGCCCCAATGCACCTGCGCCCCCGCAGCGGTGTTGGTGCCCTAGCAGTGGGGCAGCTGTGACCCCCTCACTAGCCGAGCCCCTTCTGCCGCCCACACCTGGCTGATGTCTCTCCTTGGCACTTGTGTCTGAGTAGTGGAAACCAAGCAGGTAGTCATTCCCATGATATGAGAAACTTCAGCCTTGCCGCCGTCTCGGTCCCTTCCTTGAGGTCAGGAAGGCCTCGATTTCCCTCCCGTTGCTCTGTCCAGGGCACCTTGCTGTGCCCAGGCTGGCTCCATCCTGAGCGTGCACGGAGCCCGGTTTGTCCCTGCAAAGTTCAGGACAGTTCGGAGCCCAGCTGGGCGCCCGTGAAGCAGCGTGGCTGTTTAGGATTTTGAGATGTGCATTTTGCCTGGTGTTCTGGGCCTCGTTAATGTGCAGAGTTTGAAATAACAGGTTTCTGAGTGATTGAGGATTCTGTGGTCATAGTCACA